AACTCCTATGTTATTCCAGGTGAAACTGGTTGAGAGAATGGCCAAGAGTGTGCAAAGCTGTCATCAAGGCAAAGGGGTGGCTACTTTGAAGAATCTAAAATCTAAAATATATTTTAGATTTGTTTAACATGGTTACTACATGATTCCATATGTGTTATTTAATAGTTTTGATGTCTTCACTATTATTCTACAATGTAGAAAATAGCAAAAAAATTAAGAAAAACCCTAGAATGAGTAGATGTGTCCAAACTTTTGACTAGTACTGTATATATTTATATACACATACATATAGACAAATATTTTTTAAATATATTTTCCATTATTATTTCCCCCTAACCCTACCCACCCCTCTCCTAATTGGAGTAAACTAATGGCGCCAGAGGAGATGGCTGCGGTTTTACGGGCTCCTAACCAATTGCGCTATTGTGTTAGTTTTTTTTTGCATTATTTGTAACTTATTTTGTACATAATGTTTCTGCCACCGTCTCTTATGACCGAAAATAGCTTCTGGATATCAGGACAACGATTACTCACCTTGAACTGGACAAAGATTTGTTCTTTAACGAGTTGGAAGCAAAGGATTTACATCAGACACCCGACAAGGCCCAAATCCCTGTCATTCGCAGGAGAAAGAGACGGAAATATCGGGGACGTAGGACGGGGTGCCTTGTAAGGATCCGACGGCGAGTGGGTAATCTGCCTCTACCATCAGTCCTATTAGCCAACGTACAATCATTGGATAACAAAATGGACCAATTACGATCACAAATATCCTACCAACGGGACATTAAAAACTGTAATATCTTTATCGTTATGTTTCACCGAAACGTGGCTGAACGACGACATGGACAGGCTACAGCGGCTTGTGAAAGTATTCACCCCCCTTGGCATTTTTCCTATTTTGTTGCCTTACAACCTGCTTTTTTGGGTGGTTTATTTAATTTGATTTACACAACATGCCTACCACTTTGAAGATGCAAAATAAAAACATGTGTGAAACAAACAAGAAATAAGACCAAAAAAACAGATGACTTGAGCGTGCATAACTATTCAACCCATTCCATTTCCTTTGTTAATAAGAAACTATTTTGACCTAAATTGCTTTTGTTTCAGAGATGAGTACTGCATTGCATATCCTCTAAAGGCACATTTAAAAGTGTCCCATACAATAAGGGGATCTGCTGTACCTATGTTGGGAAAAGTCCTTTATAAATTATTCTGTCCTAGTTAAAAACAAGCTATCATCCAATAGGCTTTTATAAAATGTCCAATATCCTCACCAACGTGAAAATTCTGTAAGAGTAATGTATATGCCAATTATTTTAATTTGTTTTAATTTGAAAAAGGATTGTGACTGAAATTATCTCACAGCCGAACCTGCTGATTTCAGGGACAAAGGTAAATCCAAAGGGCGTCGTTATCTCCATGCACTGCCCATGGCCTAAAGGTGGACTGATTAGGAAACGCTGCTGCACATTAAGGTTGATTAACTGCGGTGTTGGAGGGTGTGTGCAGGCCTTTGTGATCACGGACAACTACTGTAGATTTGTTTAATGAGTTGTGCCGAATCTGTTGTACTGTATGTTTAAATTTTTTTTATTTTACTCTCTACTCCCATCTGTTCGGTCTTGAAATGAACAGGTCCCCATGCAGGGTCGTATTCATTAGGGTATACTATAGAAAAACGTACCAAAACTTTTTAGCAACAACACGCATTTCTTATTGGGCATGTTTCCGTCCATTTTCTTCCCTTTGCTGCGTAATGAATATGAACCATCTTAACCACAACATACCCAGCATGGAGTAACTGTCACGCCCTGGCTCGGGGGACTCTTGAATGTTGAGCCAGGGGTGTGGAGTTTCTGTTACATTTTCTATGCTTTTGTTCTAGATCGCTTATATCTATGTTGGCCAGGGTGGTTCCCAATCAGAGACAGCTGTAGCTCTTTGTCTCTGATTGGGGCCAATACTTAGGCAGCCTGTTTTCACTAGTTTATGGTGGGATCTTGTTCCGTAGGGTTTTGTGTATAACCTAGGACTTCACGTATCGTTTGGTTTATTGTTTTGGTTCGTGTTGTGTACACAAATAAAGAATGTACGCTTATCACGCTGCGCCTTGGTCCTCTTCATCTGTCGACGATCGTGACAGAAGATCCCACCACCAGAGGGCCAAGCAGCGTGCCCAGGAGGGGAGTATGGTGATGTCGCAGGTGGGCCAATGGTGGTCTTGGGAGGACATATTCGCGGGCAGAGGGCCATGGGCAAAAGTAAATGCCCAGGCAGGAGAGGAGAAACGGCGCCAACCGTACCGACAACGGACACGCGAGAGGCAACCCCAAGTAATTTTTTTTTGGGGGGGGGCACACGGCGTGGACGACGGGGCTGCTGGAGGCAGCTACAGGGCGAATCGGCGGACTAGGAGAGGAGGCCACCAGGTTACGGGGGCTATTGGTCACGAGGGAGAAGGAGAGTGTAGAGGCACGGCGAGAGGATCTGGTTAGGCAGCAGAGGGAGCGGAGGTTTATGAGGAAACCCAGTCCCGCTCCTCGCACCAAGCAAGTGGTGTGTGTCACCAGTCCGGTCCGGCCCGTTCCTGATTCCCGCACAAAGCCAGTGGTGTGTGTTCCCAGTCCGGCCCGACCTGTTCCTGTCCCCCGCACCAAGCCTGTGGTACGCGTCGTCAGCCCGGTCCGGCCTGTTCCTGACCCCCGCACCAAGCCTGTGGTGCGCATCGCCAGCCCAGTCCGGCCTGTTCCTGCTCCCCACACCAAGCCTGTGGTGCACGTCGTCAGCCCGGTCCGGCCTGTTCCTCCTCCCCGCACCAAGCCTGTGGTGCGCGTCGTCAGCCCTGTCCGGCCTGTGCCTGCTCCCCGCACCAAGCCTGTGGTGCGCGTCGCCAGCCCGGTCCGGCCTGTTCCTGCTCCCCACACCAAGCCTGTGGTGTGCGTCGCCAGCCCGGTCCGGCCTGTTCCTGCTCCCCGCACCAAGCCTGTGGTGCACGTCGTCAGCCCGGTCCGGCCTGTTCCTGCTCCCCGCACCAAGCCAGTGGTGCACGTCGCCAGCCCGGTCCGGCCTGTCCCTGCTCCCCGCACCAAGCCAGTGGTGCGCGTCGCCAGCCCGGTCCGGCCTGTTCCTGTCCCTCGCACCAAGCCTGTGGTGCGCGTCGCCAGCCCGGTCTGGCCTGTTCCTGCTCCCCGCACCAAGCCAGTGGTGCGCGTCATCAGCCCGGTCTGGCCCGTTCCTGCTCCCCGCACCAGGCCAGTGGTGCGCGTCGTCAGCCCGGTCCGGCCCGTTCCTGCTCCCCGCACCAAGCCAGTGGTGCGCGTCGCCAGCCCGGTCCGGCCCGTTCCTGCTCCCCGCACCAAGCCAGTGGTGCGCGTCGTCAGTCCGGCACGGTCCGTGCCTGTTCCACCGGTGCCTGGACCGGCACCGGTCAGCTGCTCCACACCGGAGCCAGAGCGGTCCGCTCCACCAGTGTCAAGTCCAGCTCCGGCCAGCGGGGCCAGACCAGACCAGGGGCGCTACGGGGGGGTAGACAGAGAGTGGTGGTCACGCCCGGAGCCGGATCCGCCTCCGAGGCGGGATGCCCACCCGGCCCCTACCCCGTTGTGTTGGTTTGGCGCGGTCGCAGTCCGCGCCTTTGGGGGGGGGGGGTACTGTCACGCCCTGGCTCGGGGGACTCTTAAATGTTGAGCCAGGGGTGTGGAGTTTCTGTTACATTTTCTATGTTTTTGTTCTAGATCGTTTATATCTATGTTGGCCAGGGTGGTTCCCAATCAGAGACAGCTGTAGCTCGTTGTCTCTGATTGGGGACCATACTTAGGCAGCCTGTTTTCACTAGTTTATGGTGGGATCTTGTTCCGTAGGGTTTTGTGTATAACCTAGGACTTCACGTATCGTTTGGTTTATTGTTTTGGTTCGTGTGTGTACACAAATAAAAGAATGTACGCTTATCACGCTGCGCCTTGGTCCGCTTCATCTGTCGACGATCGTGACAGTAACCGATAGTCAGGTGAGATTCAACATATTTCATTTACATGTAACTCTACGCCATTAGTCAGCGCTTTGACGCTATAAAATACTGTATATGTTTTTCCCAGTAACAGCATCTGTTCAGTGTTCACAAACGGTATAAGAGTGTTAGATCATATTTCACCCAAATCACCCTAAATGGTGGTGGTAAACTCATCATGACGCTTTCTGTTTTTATGTTTTTTTTTTACTGGGCACTTTCCCCCGTCTCCTCTCCCAGAGAGATAATGTACTTCACTGAAAGTGTATCCTCTCAAATGTATTTTAGGGATAGACTTGCCAAACGAGGTCAACAAGGACTTAAATGTTTTGCATAGCCAGCTGTGAGATATATCTGTATTTAGTAAATATAAAAATAAAAAAAAATCTGTAATTTAATTTAACATATTTAGAACTTGTGTTCTTAGCTGGAATCATTGGTAATAATCTACACAACAAGTGGCCTTTTATCCTTTAACTCATGAAATCTCTGAATTTCAATGACTGAATAACTATCAGTATAAATGGATCAACTAGTGTACAGTACATTCCTCTCTATCTTTTGAGATATTGTTTTAAAGCTCTATCTCGATTTTATAAGCTCCATAAATGTAGTTAACGACACAGTTCAAGCTCTTGAATGAATCGCTCTGTTACCGTTACCAGAGTCATTGCTACACCAGGAGTCATCGCTCTGTTACCGTTACCAGAGTCATTGTTACACCAGGAGTCATCGCTCTGTTACCGTTACCAGAGTCATTGCTACACCAGGAGTCGTTACAGTTGGAATCGTTACTGTGTAGACCTAAGTGTAATCAATCAGCCACAATAAAATACACTTTATCCACTCAAAAATTATTACTTTCAGCTTTCGTTCTCCTACTGCTACTAATCCTTAACCCCCACACAAAGCTCCAAGGGCTGGTTTCCCAGGCACAGATTAGGTCCTGGACTAAAAAGCGAACATGTTTTATAGTCCAGGACTAGGCTTAATCTGTGTCCGGGAAACCGGCCCCAACTGTATAGCATAATTTACCTCCTCCATGGCTCTGACACAGGTAAGGGAACCTCCACACGTTCCCCAGCCCCACACAGAAGCCCACACAGGTCAGCATGTACTGGGTCTTGTTGTCCCATTTGGGCCTGTCCCCGGCCTCCTCCTTCTCCATCCTCTCCAGTTCCTGATGAGACGGGATCCGGTCATCCAGACCTGGGTTGGGGAGCTTGGGGAATCTCATGGTGGCCGGCTGGCAGGCTGTGGAGATCAGGAGGCGATCAGGCTTCAGCCTAGAGAAAGCAGGTAATATCCACTCCACTAAGTATCTGCTGCTCCCGCAACAAGAGATGTTTCCTGAATGGTGATTCTTCAGTCACAGGAAGAGACAGCAGAGGTGTGTGGCAGTCTCTTGTGCCATTTAGTCTTCACGGGGTATTATGTATCTCTCTCTCTCTCTCTCTCTCGCTCTCTCTCTCGCTCTCTCTCAATCTCTCTATCTCTCTATCTCTCTATCTCTCTATCTCTCTATCTCTCTATCTCTCGCTCTCTCGCTCTCTCGCTCTCTCGCTCTCTCGCTCTCTCTCTCTCTCTCTCTCTCTCTCTCTTTCGCTCTCTCTCTCTTTCTCTATCTGGTGCTGTCACGGTCACTCTTTGTGTGGAGGGAATATGTGTGTGTGTGTGTGTGTGTGTGGGCCAGGTGTATATTTAGTATTGGGTGAGGCTGCCATCCCAAATTACTGATTGACTGCCTTTTGAATCATTTACCAAAACATCATAAGATTATCAAATATATGGCCCAATTAGATGTCCTCTACAAATGACAGATGAGGTTGGCAAATATACCACTTAGGAAACTGGAACCTTCAGATGATAAAGATTGAACACAAAACGGTTAATCTTTGAATACTTCTAAATCAACACAGCAAAACCCCTAACTGTACTAAGATTATGCAGTTGCACAAACAGAAGTTTTCAGTTGCCACACAATTATTCATAGTTTTTTTTGCATCACTGGTTAATCTGGCATTTCAGAGAATATACTGAATCTGTATGAAAACGATATGTATTATTATTGATGTATTATAATGATAATTTATACTGTTATTGTTGATGTCATTATCTCACTTTGCTTTAGCAACAGTGGCGTTATCCTTCATTCTAATGAAGCTTTGAATCCGATATGAATAGTCAAGTTATTGACAGACAAATCTTTACAACTGAAAAATGCATAGTTTAATATTCCTTTACATTTGAATATTCCTTTACAAGATCAGGAAACAGAGAATGGACAATTCCTTGTTATACAAATGGTCAGTCCTTATCATTTTGTTAATAAGTGGACATCACCCATTCTAAACTCAAGTAGGTTAAGAGAGTTAGAGAATATGTTGTTATCACTAACCCCTAACCCAAGCTAAATCATGAAACCCACAGAGAACCTCACTGTCGATAGGTAGGCCTTTCCTTCGCTTGCTAGAACGTGCTGCGTGCCGACCTGTTAGCGATTAACCTACAGTAGAATCTGCAACGCTTGTCAGTGGCCAACAACTTGACTTTGAGCCAATCAGAGGAAAAAATAGGGAATTTTTCTCCATACAGCCACAGATGAGCCAGTCACGCCAAAGACCGTACGGCATACGCTTATCCAATAGAAATCTCCGATCACGTTTGTAGGTTACGTCATGGCGACGTTGGCTAGGCAAGCTCATGGGTAGAAACACATCATTGGGACTAACGGTTGTCTCGCACTGAACTCCGCATTTGCAAGCCGTCAAAATCAAAGGCACTCCTTCTATATAAAGTTGTTTTTTGACGAAATGAAAACGTGTCAGTTTGTCACTTTCCCAAGGTTGGAGTAATAACGTAATCAACCACTTAAGACATTGGCTCGAATCTAGCTTGTGCTTTTAGATTTGGCGAAAATTAACAACTAAGGAATAATTTTTCACTTCTCTCATTGACTTCTCAAACCCCAAACCCCGGCCTGGTCTGTTTGGTCTGTTTCACAAGCGTTCCCAGATGTTCCCGTGATGTTGCGCCTCTGGGGTTTAGAAACTCAGTGCAATGTAGGCTATGGGGATGGTAGCTAGCTAAGTGTACAGTGGGGTTCACCAGGCCAAATTCCTAAATGCATTCTCTGTAAATTCTACAATCTACAGATCTGTAATGTTCCGGATTTCACAACTGTCCCAATGCAATTTATCGGGAGTAGTTCGCTCTATTTAAGAATGCATTTGATTTACCTGTTATTTGTCCGGCTGAAAGAGGTTGTGTTGGTTAGATAAGTGATGTCTGATGTTACAACAGTCAGTGAACATGTCTCCCACCCAACTCAAATGCCAACAGAGGATAACCCTGGGATTGTAAAAGAATTAATGAATGATTTGTTGGAGGACATGCCATAATGAAGCCAGAGGACTGTGTTCGAGGGACACTGGGATGAAAGCCCAATGTCCAGCTACTGTTATTTAATACGTTTCTTACCGTAGGGCTGGTTGAGATGTTCTGTCCTCCTTTGTTAAATATTTGAAAGTGTCTTCTGCCAGTCAGACCATTCAGAGGAGAGATTATGTGTCCCAAATGGCACCCTATTCCCTATACAGAGCGCTACGTTTAACCAAATGGCACCCTATTCCCTATATAGAGCGCTACGTTTAACCAAATGGCACCCTATTCCCTATATAGAGCGCTACGTTTAACCAAATGGCACCCTATTCCCTATATAGAGCGCTACGTTTAACCAAATGGCACCCTATTCCCTATATAGAGCGCTACGTTTAACCAAATGGCACCCTATTCCCTATATAGAGCGCTACGTTTAACCAATGGCACCCTATTCCCTATATAGAGCGCTACGTTTAACCAAATGGCACCCTATTCCCTTATAGAGCGCTACGTTTAACCAAATGGCACCCTATTCCCTATATAGGCGCTACGTTTAACCAATGGCACCCTATTCCCTATATAGAGCGCTACGTTTAACCAATGGCACCCTATTCCCTATATAGAGCGCTACGTTTAACCAAATGCACCCTATTCCCATATAGAGCGCTACGTTTAACCAAAATGGCACCCTATTCCCTATATAGAGCGCTACGTTTAACCAAATGGCACCTATTCCCTATACAGAGCGATACGTTTAAACTTTTAACCAATGGCACCCTATTCCCTATATAGAGCGCTACGTTTAACCAAATGGCACCCCTATTCCCCTATATAAGCGCTACGTTTAACCAAATGGCACCCTATTCCCTATATAGAGCGCTACGTTTAACCAAATGGCACCTATTCCCTATAATAGAGCGCTACGTTTAACCAATGGCACCCTATTCCCTATATGAGCGCTACGTTTAAACCAAATGGCACCCTATTCCCTATATAGAGCGCTACGTTTAACCAAATGGCACCCTATTCCCTATATAGAGCGCTACGTTAAATTATTAACCAAATGGCACCCTATTCCCTATATAGAGCGCTACGTTTAACCAAATGGCACCCTATTCCTTATATAGAGCGCTACGTTTAATCAAATGGCACCCTATTCCCTATATAGAGCGCTACGTTTAACCAAATGGCACCCTATTCCCTATATAGAGCGCTACGTTTAACCAAATGGCACCCTATTCCCTATATAGAGCGCTACGTTTAACCAAATGGCACCCTATTCCCTATATAGAGCGCTACGTTTAACCAAATGGCACCCTATTCCCTATACAGAGCGCTACGTTTAACCAAATGGCACCCTATTCCCTATACAGAGCGCTACGTTTAACCAAATGGCACCCTATTCCCTATATAGAGCGCTACGTTTAACCAAATGGCACCCTATTCCCTATATAGAGCGCTACGTTTAACCAAATGGCACCCTATTCCCTATATAGAGCGCTACGTTTAACCAAATGGCACCCTATTCCCTATATAGAGCGCTACGTTTAACCAAATGGCACCCTATTCCCTATATAGAGCGCTACGTTTAACCAAATGGCACCCTATTCCCTATATAGAGCGCTACGTTTAACCAAATGGCACCCTATTCCCTATATAGAGCGCTACGTTTAACCAAATGGCACCCTATTCCCTATATAGAGCGCTACGTTTAACCAAATGGCACCCTATTCCCTATATAGAGCGCTACGTTTAACCAAATGGCACCCTATTCCCTATATAGAGCGCTACGTTTAACCAAATGGCACCCTATTCCCTATATAGAGCGCTACGTTTAACCAAATGGCACCCTATTCCTTATATAGAGCGCTACGTTTAACCAAATGGCACCCTATTCCCTATATAGAGCGCTACGTTTAACCAAATGGCACCCTATTCCCTATATAGAGCGCTACGTTTAACCAAATGGCACCCTATTCCCTATATAGAGCGCTACGTTTAACCAAATGGCACCCTATTCCCTATATAGAGCGCTACGTTTAACCAAATGGCACCCTATTCCCTATATAGAGCGCTACGTTTAACCAAATGGCACCCTATTCCCTATATAGAGCGCTACGTTTAACCAGAGTTCTATGGGCCCTAGTCAAAAGGGTTCCAAAAAGGGTTCTTCGGCTGCCCCCATAGGAAAACCCGTTTTTGGTTCCAGGAGGAACTCTTTTGGGTTCCATGAATAACCCTTTGTGTACAGGGAACTCAGAAGTGTTCTACCTGGAATCAAAAATAGTTATTCAAAGGGTTCTCCTATGGGGACAGCGGAAGAACCGTTTTAGGTTCTAGATACTAAACTCAGCAAAAAAAGGAAACGTCCCTCTCACTGTCAACTGCGTTTATTTTCAGCAAACTTAACATGTGTAAATATTTGTATGAACATAACAAGATTCAACAACTGAGACATAAACTGAACAAGTTCCACAGACATGTGACTAACAGAAATGGAATAATGTGTCCCTGAACAAAGGGGGGGGGGGGGGTCAAAATCAAAAGTAACAGTCAGTATCTGGTGTGGCCATCAGCTGCATTAAGTACTGCAGTGCATCTCCTCCTCATGGACTGCACCAGATTTGCCAGTTCTTGCTGTGAGATGTTACCCCACTCTTCCACCAAGGCACCTGCAAGTTCGCAGACATTTCTGGGGGGAATGGCCCTAGTCCTCATCCTCCGATCCAACAGGTCCCAGAAGTGCTCAATGGGATTGAGATCCGGGCTCTTCGCTGGCCATGGCAGAACACTGACATTCCTGTCTTGCAGGAAATCACGCACAGAACGAACAGTATGGCTGGTGGCATTGTCATGCTGGAGGGTCATGTCAGGATGAGCCTGCAGGAAGGGTACCACATGAGGGAGGAGGATGTCTTCCCTGTAACGTACAGCGTTGAGATTGCCTGCAATGACAACAAGCTCAGTCCGATGATGCTGTGACACACCGCCCCAGACCATGACGGACCCTTCACCTCGATCCTGCTCCATAGTACAGGCCTCGGTGTAACGCTCATTCCTTCGACGTTAAACGTGAATCAGACCATCACCCCTGGTGAGACAAAACCGCGACTCGTCAGTGAAGAGCACTTTTTGCCAGTCCTGTCTGGTCCAGCGATGGTGGGTTTGTGCCCATAGGCAACGTTGTTGCCGGTGATGTCTGGTGAGAACCTGCCTTACAACAGGCCTACAAGCCCTCAGTCCAGCCTCTCTCAGCCTATTGCGGACAGTCTGAGCACTGATGGAGGGATTTTGCGTTCCTGGTGTAACTCGGGCAATTGTTGTTGCCATCCTGTACCTGTCCCGCAGGTGTGATGTTCGGACGTACCGATCCTGTGCAGGTGTTGTTATACGTGGTCTGCCACTGCGAGGACGATCAGCTGTCCGTCCTGTCTCCCTGTAGCGCTGTCTTAGGCGTCTCACAGAACGGACATTGCAATTCATCGCCCTGGCCACATCTGCAGTCCTCATGCCTCCTTGCAGCATACCTAAGGCACGTTCACACAGATGAGCAGGGACCCTGGGCATCTTTCTTTTTGTGTTTTTCAGTCAGTAGAAAGGCCTCTTTAGTGTCCTAAGTTTTCATAACTGTGACCTTAATTGCCCACCGTCTGTAAGCTGTTAAGTGTCTTAACGACCGTTCCACAGGTGCATTTTCATTATATGTTTATGGTTCATTGAACAAGCATGGGAAACAGTGTTTAAACCCTTTACAATGAAGATCTGAGAAGTTATTTGGATTTTTACGAATTATCTTTGAAAGACAGGGTCCTGAAAAAGGGACATTTCTTTTTTTTGCTGAGATTATATTTATCTATTTATTTATTTTCCCTTTCGTACTTTTTTTGCTAAATTTATCTATTGCATCTTAGCCTATGCTGCTCTGACAATGACATTGCCCATATATATATATATTCTTATTCCATTCCTTTACTTAGATTTGTGTGTATTAGGTATTTGTTGTGGAACTGTTAGATATTACTTGCTAGATATTACTGCACTGTCGGAACTAGAAGCACAAGCATTTCACTACACACGCAATAACATCTGCTAACCATGTGTATGTGACCAATACATTTGATTTGATTTGATTTGAGATATTACCCTTTTTTCTAAGAGTGTAGTGCACTATATAGGAAATATGATTCCATTTGGGATGCTCTCAGTGAGAACACATTACAGTGTGATAATGGTTGGTTGCATCCAGTGAGAACACATTACAGTGTGATAATGGTTGGTTGCATCCAGTGAGAACACATTACAGTGTGATAATGGTTGGTTGCATCCAGTGAGAACACATTACAGTGTGATAATGGTTGGTTGCATCCAGTGAGAACACATTACAGTGTGATAATGGTTGGTTGCATCCAGTGAGAACACATTACAGTGTGATAATGGTTGGTTGCATCCAGTGAGAACACATTACAGTGTGATAATGGTTGGTTGCATCCAGTGAGAACACATTACAGTGTGATAATGGTTGGTTGCATCCATTGAGAACACATTACAGTGTGATAATGGTTGGTTGCATCCATTGAGAACACATTACAGTGTGATAATGGTTGGTTTCAAGGTAGTAGGCCTATGCTGTATGCAGAAGTACTCAGACACTGGAATTCAATCAAACTGACCACTCCAATGTTTGTTTGCAGTACTTAGTTAACAAACTACTCAAACTTCTTGAAAACTGTAAGCACCTTCCTTTGAATGGCCTTAGCTGCAACGTAAATAGACTACCTCATTGCGGGTTAGATTGAATTACAGCTGTGAACTTCTATGACGCTGGTGCATGATCAACAGTATGCCAGAAGAGGTCACCATTTGCTTTGAAATCAGACTCAATCCTCGCTGTTGCGCTAATACCAAAGAGAAGGTGGGAGGGGATGGATTTTCTCTCCCTCTAGACGAAAAAACCGTCTGTCCCATGCAGACTAATCTCTCTCTCTCTCGCTTTTGCTCTCGCTCAGTCTCAATTCAAGGGGCTTTATTGGCATGGGCAACATTACATTTAACATTTTATCCAGAGCGACTTACAGTTAATGAGTGCATACGTTTTCATACTGCCCCCCCGTGGGAATATAACCCACAACCCTGGCGTTGCAAACGCCATGCTCTACCAACTGAGCTACACGGGGGGCATATGTTTACATTGCCAAACAAGTGAAATAGATAATAAACAAAAGTGAAATAAACAATCAGAAATTAACAGTAAATATTATACTCACAAAAGTTTCAAAGGAATAGAGACATTTCAAATGTCATGTTATGGCTATGTACTGTGTTGTAAAACAAAAGGGAAAATAAATCTACATAAATATGGATTGTATTTAAGCCAGGCCCATCCACTTGGGAGCCTGGCACAGCCAGTCAGAATGAGTTTTTCCCCACAAACGGGTTTATTACAGACAGAAATACTCCTCAGTTTCATCAGCTGTCCGAGTGGCTGGTCTCAGACGATCCCGCAGGTGAAGAAGCTGGATGTTGAGTTCCTCGGCTGTCATGGTTACACGTGGTCTGCGGTTGTGAGGCCGGTTGGACATACTGCCAAATTCTCTAAAATGACATTGGAGAGAAATTAACATTCAATTCTCTGGCATCAGCTCTGGTGGACATTCCTGCAGTCAGCATGCCAATTGCGTGCTCCCTAAAAAAATTATGACATCTGTGGCATTGTGTTGTGTGACAAAACTGCACATTTTTTATTGGCCTTTTATTTTCCCCAGCACAAGGTGCACCTGTGTAATGATCATGCCGTTTAATCAGCTTCTTGATATGCCACACCTGTCAGGTGGAAGGATTATCATGGCAAAGGAGAAATGTTCACTTACAGGGATGTAAACAAATTTGTGCACAACATTTGAGAGAAATAAGCTTTTTGTGCATATGGAACATTTATGGGATTCTTTATTTCAGCTCATGAAACCAACACTTTACATGTTGCGTTTATATTTTTGTTCAGTGTACAATGGTGTTTGTTCTTCACTGGTTGCCTTTTTCTTGTAGCAACCGGTCACAAATCTCTCTCCCTCTCCAGCGCCTTGCCTGCCTCTCTTGTCATTGGCCACCTGCTGTGACAAGTGACAACAGAGACGACACAGTGACACGGTCCCAGAACAGAGTAACGGGACTAATCGGTTCTCCCTATAGACGCACTAACCAACCGGCGAAACGAAACAGTTTCTTGTGCTGGTCCAACCAGACTTCATGACAAGTCGACCACACTATTCTGATTTTAGTAGCCCAACCAACCATAGCGGTTGCGAGCGGCTGATCAAACTTGGCAACCTGCTGTTTTTGTTGTTGTCACGGGCAGCAGCAGACAGAGAGACGGGGAGTGCTCCTTGCTAGGCGACGGGTCTAATCATTAACCTGTGTTAGGTGCCCCCTCATCAGAGGAGCTTCTTGCATGGATACATCATGGCTACGTTTGTCTGCAGGGTTCAGTTCTTAGACGACACCGATCCATTCAACAGCACCAACTTCCCGGAACCGACCCGACCACCTCACTACACGTTCCGAGAGGATATCCCGCTTATCAATCAGATAGCGGGAGTCCACCGGCTACTTGGAGCCCCGCACAAGGTTTGCAATGTTTTAATTTTGCCAGACCTATTTTAGCCTGGATTAATGCATTTCAATGTTGTTTTTTGTTTGCCCATATATAAACAATGTCGTGTCAGTCACAATTTACCAGGTATTTATAAGACCAACCGCGTACTCAGTTGATTGATTGTGCAGGCAAGGCTAGGATAATTGCATGGCTGCAAGTAGGATATATTTGGTAGGCTACAGCGATGCAATGTCAGACTGTCAACAAACTTTCACACCGTTGTCAAACAGTATTTGTGTGTCTGTATTCGTTCTCTCTCTATATCTGTTTTATCTCCAAGTATATCACCGCTAGGGCATGTCTTCATGTTGCACAGGTCAGAAATACGGCAGCTAATAACTTCTGAGTTGTTAAGCATGAGATTAACAGGAAACAGCAAACATTCATTCTCCTTTTTTGTTTGTTTTTCTTCTTATTCATTGAACAAGTAAACTTTTAGTGCAATAGCTATGTGTGTGTGTGTGTGTTTAGTGCAGATGTACCGGAGGAGCTGTTTAATCTCACTCAACACTACAGAGTTCTCCTGTAGGGCTCCCTGTAGCTGCCGCTGGTCCTGCTGTTGAGCCCCGTGGAGTGGAGATGGGGGCCAGGTCTGGGTCGGGGGACTGCCTCTCTGGTCTGGTAGAGGTGGTGGTCTGGTGCTGGGTAGTAGGCTGGGCCCGGTCCAGTCTGGCAGCGCCGATGGAGGTGGTGATGCTCTGGTGGTGGGTGGGGCCTGTGGGGTGCGCTATGTCTGGTGGGGCGTTGAGGGGGCCTGGGGCTCCTTGGTGGTGCGCTGGGTCTGGTGGGGCGTTGAGGGGGCCTGGGGCTCCTTGGTGGTGCGCTGGGTCTGGTGGGGCGTTGAGGGGGCCTGGGGCTCCTTGGTGGTGCGGCGGTCTGTGTAGGGGTCTCTGGGTGGGCCTCTGTCCAGTGCGACGATGGGTGTTTGTTTACCAAGTGCCACGTCCTTTTAGAGTCTTGGCAAACATCCCAACTGTCTGCTTCCTCAGGTGGAGGTGAGTGTTGGGTGGTGAACAATGTGCACGTTCGGAGGTAGAGCACACACTCTGGTGATGTCAGCACTGACTTTCTGAATGGTACGCGGATGAAAGTCTTTGCGGGGCAGCAGAGTGGAGATGGTGATGTGTGAGTTGGGGAACCACTCAGAGGCCCTCTCTGCTACTCTGTTGACCAGGCTGCCTGCCCTCTCCTGCTCCTCTCGCAGGTTGTTGGTGCCGGTGGGAATAATAATGTGGCCCGGTGTGCCAAAGTCAGGCTGGGACAGGATGTGGAGTGCATCCTGCGTTTTGGGGCACCATATTTTGGACACCTTGTGGTGGGGGAAGAGTTTATCCTCTTGGATTAATTTCCCATTTGAGTCAATGAGGCTGGCCACCTTTTATTTTATTTTTTTATTTCACCTTTATTTAACCAGGTAAGCCAGTTGAGAACAAGTTCTCATTTACAACTGCGACCTGGCCAAGATAAAGCAAAGCAGTGCGATAAAAACAACAACACAGTTACATATGGGGTAAAACAAAACAAAGTCAAAAATACAACAATTTTTTTTTTTAAATATATATATATACAGTGTGTGCAAATGTAGCAAGTTATGGAGGTAAGGCAATAAATAGGCTATAGTGCAAAATAATTACAATTAGTATTAACACTGGAATGATAGATGTGCAAGAGATGATGTGCAAATAGAGATACTGGTGTACAAATGAGCAAAATAAATAACAATATAGGGATGAGGTATTTGGGCGGGCTAATTTCAGATGGGCTGTGTACAGGTGCAGTGATCGGTAAGCTGCTCTGACAACTGATGCTTAAAGTTAGTGAGGGAGATAAGTGTCTCCAGCTTCAGAGATTTTTGCAATTTGTTCCAGTCATTGGCAGCAGAGAACTGGAAGGAATGGCGGCCAAAGGAGGTGTTGGCTTTGGGGATGACCAGTGAGATATACCTGCTGGAGCGCATACTACGGGTGGGTGTTGCTATGGTGACCAATGAGCTAAGATAAGGCAGGGATTTGCCTAGCAGTGATTTATAGATGGCCTGGAGCCAGTGGGTTTGGCGACGAATATGTAGTGAGGACCAGCCAACAAGAGCGTACAGGTCACAGTGGTGGGTAGTATATGGGGCTTTGGTGACAAAACGGATGGCACTGTGATAGACTACATCCAATTTGCTGAGTAGAGTGTTGGAGGCTATTTTGTAAATGACATCGCCGAAGTCAAGGATCGGTAGGATAGTCAGTTTTACGAGGGCATGTTTGGCAGCATGAGTGAAGGAGGCTTTGTTGCGAAATAGGAAGCCGATTCTAGATTTAACTTTGGATTGGAGATGCTTAATGTGAGTCTGGAAGGAGAGTTTACAGTCTAACCAGACACCTAGGTATTTGTAGTTGTCCACATACTCTAGGTCAGACCCGTCGAGAGTAGTGATTCTAGTCGGGTGGGCGGGGTGCAAGCAGCGTTCGGTTGAAGAGCATGCATTTAGTTTTACTAGTGTTTAAGAGCAGTTGGAGGCTACTGAAGGACTGTTGTATGGCATTGAAGCTCGTTTGGAGGTTTGTTAACACAGTGTCCAATGAAGGGCCAGATGTATACAAAATGGTGTCGTCTGCGTAGAGGGGGATCTGAGAGTCACCAGCAGCAAGAGCGACATCATTGATATACACAGAGAAAAGAGTCGGCCCAAGAATTGAACCCTGTGGCACCCCCATAGAGACTGCCATAGGTCCAGACAACAGGCCCTCCGATTTGACACATTGAACTCTATCTGAGAAGTAGTTGGTGAGCCAGGCGAGGCAGTCATTTGAGAAACCAAGGCTATTTAGTCTGCCAATAAGAATGCGGTGGTTGACAGAGTCGAAAGCCTTGGCCAGGTCAATGAAAACGGCTGCGCAGTACTGTCTATTATCGATCGCGGTTATAATATCGTTTAGGACCTTGAGCGTGGCTGAAGTGCACCCATGACCAGCTCGGAAACCGGATTGCATAGCGGAGAAGGTACGGTGGGATTCGAAATGGTCGGTGATCTGTTTGTTAACTTGGCTTTCAAAAACTTTTGAAAGGCAGGGCAGGATGGATATGGGTCTGTAACAGTTTGGATCTAGAGTGTCACCCCCCTTTGAAGAGGGGGATGACCGCGGCAGCTTTCCAATCTCTGGGGATCTCAGACGTTACGAAAGAGAGGTTGAACAGGCTAGTAATAGGGGTTGCGACAATTTCGGCGGCTAGTTTTAGAAAGAAAGGGTCCAGATTGTCTAGCCCAGCTGATTTGTAGGTGTCCAGATTTTGCAGCTCTTTCAGAACATCAGCTGTCTGGATTTGTGTGAAGGAGAAGCGGGGGGGGGGGGCATGGGCAAGTTGCAGCGGGAGAGTGCAGAGCTGGTGGCCGGGGTAGTGGTAGCCAGGTGGAAAGCATGGCCAGCCGTAGCAAAATGCTTGTTAAAATTCTCGATTATTGTAGATTTATCGGTGGTGATAGTGTTTCCTAGCCTCAGTGCAGTGGGCAGCTGGGAGGAAGTGCTCTTATTCTCCATGGACTTTACAGTGTCCCAAAACTTTTGGGGTTAGTGCTACAGGATGCAAATTTCTGTTTGAAAAAGTTAGCCTTTGCTTTCCTAACTGCTTGTGTATATTGGTTCCTAACTTCCCTGAAAAGTTGCATATCGCGGGGGCTATTTGATGCTAATGCAGTACGCCACAGGATGTTTTTGTGCTGGTCAAGGGCAGTCAAGTCTGAGGAGAACCAGGGGCTATATCTGTTCTTAGTTCTGTATTTTTTGAATGGGGCATGTTTATTTAAGATTGAGAGGAAATTACTTTTAAAGAACAACCAGGCATCCTCTACTGACGGAATGAGATCTATATCCATCCAGGATACCTGGGCCAGGTCAATTAGGAAGGCCTGCTCGCTGAAGTGTTTTTGGGAGCGTTTGACAGTGATGAGGGGTGGTCGTTTGACCGCGGACCCGTTACGGACGCAGGCAATAAGGCAGTGATTGCTGAGATCCTGGTTGAAGACAGCGGAGGTGTATTTAGAGGGTAAGTTAGTCAGGATGATATCTATGAGGGTACCCATGTTTACGGATTTAGGGTTGTACCTGATAGGTTCGTTGATAATGTGTGTGAGATTGAGGGCATCTAGTTTGGATTGTAGGATGGCCGGGGTGTTAAGCATATCCCAATTTAGGTCACCAAGCAGTACGAACTCTGAGGATAGATGGGGGGCAATCAATTCACAAATGGTGTCCAGGGCACAGCTGGGGGCTGAGGGGGGTCTGTAGCAAGCGGCAACAGTGAGAGATTTATTTCTGGAAAGGTGGATTTTTAGAAGTAGAAGCGCAAACTGTTTGGGCACAGACCTGGATAGTATGATAGAGCTCTGCAGGCTATCTCTACAGTAGATTGCAACTCCACCCCCTTTGGCAGTTCTATCTAGACGGAAAATGTTATAGTTGGGGATGGAAATTTCAGAATTTTTGGTGGCCTTCCTAAGCCAGGATTCAGACACTGCTAGAACATCAGGGTTGGCGGAGTGTGCTAACGCAGTGAACAACTCAAACTTAGGAAGGAGGCTTCTGATATTTACGTGCAGAAAACCAAGGCTTTTACGGTTACAGAAGTCAACAAATGATAGCTCCTGGGGAGTAGGAGTGATACTGGGGGCTGCAGGGCCTGGGTTAGCCTCTACATCACCAGAGGAACAGAGGAGGACTAGAATAAGGATACGACTAAAGGCTTTAAGAACTGGTCTTCTAGTGCGTTGGGTACATAGAATAAAGGGGGCAGTTCTCCGGGCGTTGTAGAAAAGATTCAGGGCATTATGTACAGAAAAGGATATGGAAGGATATGAGTACAGTTGAGGTAAACCTAAGCGTTGGGTAACAATGAAAGAGATAGCATCACTGGAGGCACCGATTGAGCCGGTCTCGGCGTGTATGGGGGGTGGAACAAATGAACTATTTGAGGCAGTTTGAGAGGGACTAGGGGTTCTACAGTGAAATTGTATAATAAGAACTAACCCAAACAGCAATAGGCAAGGCATATTTACAAGGGAGAGAGGCATAAAGCAATCACAGGTGTTATTAGAGAGAGCTAAGACAACAACTGGTAATAGCGATAACGTTTGGGCTGAGGCTAAACAGAATAAACAGGACAGGGTACCGTGTAAAGGAACAGTCCAGCAGGCATCAGCTGTGCAGCTGAGTGATCATAAGGTCCAGTGAACAGCAATATGTGAGTCCGAGAGCAGTTCAAATTGGTGCTTCAGCACAGCTAGCAGGGAGCACAGTTGTAGTTTGCGTGTGCTAGCGGGCCGGGGCTGGCAGATGGATCTTCGACACCTCTGTGTCTTATGCCAGAGTAGAGGGTTTACAGTCTGGGTCTGGTGCTGGGGCTGGGGTACACAGGGCCTGTTTCTTAAAACATTGTTGGTTAAGGGCTTGTAAGTAAGCATTTCACGGTAAGGTCTACACCTGTTGTGTTCGGCACATGTGACAAATACAATTTGATTTGATTTGGGTGTGTCGGAGGGGGGCAGAGCGCCGGGCCTGCAGCTTCTCTCTAGGAGTCTCTACAGTCGGTTCTCTGTGCTGCAGCAGCCTCTTGATGACAGACAACTCCTTTACCATCTCCTCCTTTACCTGCACTAGCCCTCTCCTCATGGTGACCTTTACCTCCTCAAGAGCTGTGGTAAGGCTCTCTCCTCATGGTGACCTTTACCTCCTCAAGAGTTGTTTTGAGGCTCTCTCCTCATGGTGACCTTTACCTCCTCAAGAGCTGTGGTGAGGCCCTCTCCTCATGGTGACTTTTACCTCCTCGAGCTGTGGTAAGGCTCTCTATCTCATGGTGACTTTTACCTCCTCAAGAGCTGTGGTAAGGCTCTTTCTCAGCTCCTGGACAGAGTTCGTCATCTGGGTCCTGCACTGGTTGATCTGGGCCCAGTTGCATAAAACGTCTTAAGTGTTTCCCTTAAGGGATTCCCTTAAGAAATAATTGTTCCTTACTTAAGGGAATTGTTTAAGGGCGTTGCATAGAGCCCCTCAAATATTTCCTGACGTAAGGGCATACTTGAGGGGTTTTACGGTAGTTTGAAGGCATATATGGTAGAAAGAGTATCTGGTTACCAAGGAGATGGCCTGATTCACTGACTAAACGTCTTATGAGATAGGAAAATATAACCTACAATCAAGACAGGCTAACCAAATTACTTCAGAAGATAATAAAACATGTTTCTTGTAGTTACTTTTTTCTCAACTCGTTTCTATTACTTTCTAGCATGTCATGCTAGCTGACAGAGTAGCTATAGCTAACTAGCCAGCTAGCTTACAGAGTAGCTATAGCTAACTAGCCAGCTAGCTTACAGAGTAGCTATAGCTAACTAGCTAGCTAGCTGACAGAGTAGCTATAGCTAACTAGCTAGCTAGCTTTGTAGCCATGGATAGCTAGCTGGTTGATGTTTTACTTTTGTAACCAGAGCAGATGAAAGCAACATTCACCTCCACAAATGCTGTTTACATTGATATCCATACTGAATTAAGCAGTTAAGGGACTGCATGGGCACTCTTAACCTGTTCACATAATTTAAGGGGGAAATTCACCTTAAAATGTTTTGTGCAACTGACTTAAAGTTAAGGAAACTTTAAGGGAAAAGATAAGGTGTTTTATGCAACAGGGCCCTGGTCCTGTAGAAGCTCTGTGTCTGGGCTGGAGGTGGCGTAGCTGGGGGGGGGCTGCTCCTTTTAGCTCAGTAACCCATACCTCTAACCGAGCCGGCCCGTCTCTCAGCAGGCTGACGGTGGTGTGGTCTTGGCTCTGGTGATCGTAGGCAGGCAGGGGGGAGGACAGACCTGTTGTGTGGATCTAGGCTCCTGCTGTTGGAGTGCCTGAGGTAAGTGGAGAGGTCGGAGTTCCTTTTCCTTTTTGGTTTCTGCTATCATCCCCAGGAAGTCCTGCACAAAAGAGCTGAGTGGCCCGGACCATGACAGTGCCGTTCTGGTACACGTTTACTGTCAGAAACCTGTTTTCCTGGTCCTTTTCACTGTCCTCAAACATTTGTATTTGTCTTCCCTTTTGCCTTTCTTTGTTGTATAGATGGGTCGGCTGACAACATCACGAAAATGATGCGCAAGCTTCAATAGGGCAGAAGTCCATGAGTTGTTGTGGTTCTGGAGGGCCAGATGGCTAGCAACAATGACAAAAAACTGCCATGTGGGGAATCGTAAATGGCTAGTTTCAGCTCGTGGGGGGAGGGGGAGGAGTCTCTGTCTCTGCTGCTGGTGCTGCTAGCACTGCCTCAGTGGTCATGTTGCTACGGTTACCACCAGTAAACAGGAATAGACAATAAACAAAAGGGAAATAAACATTGAGAAATTAACAGTAAACATTACGCTCACAAAAGTTGTAAAATAATATAGACATTTCAAATGTTATATTATTGGCTATATACAGTGTTGTAACAATGTGCAAATAGTTGAAGTACAAAAGGGAAAATAAATAAACAGATAAATATAATCTCAGCAAAAAAACAAACGTCCCTTTTTCAGGACCCTGTCTTTCAAAGATAATTCATAAAAATCCAAATAACTTCACAGACCTTCATTGTAAAGGGTTTAAACACTGTTTCCCATGCTTGTTCGATGAACCATAAACATATAATGAACATGCACCTGTGGAACGGTCGTTAAGACACTTAACAGCTTACAGACGGTAGGCAATTAAGGTCACAGTTACGAAAACTTAGGACACTAAAGAGGCCTTTCTACTGACTCTGAAAAACACCAAAAGGAAGATGCCCAGGGTCCCTGCTCATCTGCGTGAACGTGCAGATGTGGCCAGGGCAATAAATTGCAATGTCCGTACTGTGAGACGCCTAAGACAGCGCTACAGGGAGACAGGACAGACAGCTGATCATCTTCACAGTGGCAGACCACGTGTAACAACACCTGCACAGGATCGGTACATCCAAACATCACACCTGCGGGACAGGTACAGGATGGCAACAACAACTGCCCGAGTTACACCAGGAACGCACAATGAGGGCTTGTAGGCCTGTTGTAAGGCAGGTCCTCACCAGACATCACCAGCAACAACGTCGCCTATGGGCACAAAACCACCGTCGCTGGACCAGACAGGACTGGCAAAAAGTGCTCTTCACTGACGAGCCACGGTTTTGTCTCACCAGGGGTGATGGTCGGATTCGCGTTTATCGTTGAAGGAATGAGCGTTACACTGAGGCCTGTACTATGGAGCAGGATCGATTTGGAGGAGAGGGTCCGTCATGGTCTGGGGCGGTGTGTCACAGCATCATCGGACTGAGCTTGCTGTCATTGCAGGAAATCTCAACGCTGTGCGTTACGAGGAAGACATCCTCCTCCCTTATGTGGTACCCTTCATGCAGGCTCATCCTGACATGACCCTCCAGCATGACAATGCCACCAGCCATACTGCTCGTTCTGTGCGTGATTTCCTGCAAGACAGGAATGTCAGTGTTCTGCCATGGCCAGCGAAGAGCCCGGATCTCAATCCCATTGAGCACGTCTGGGACCTGTTGGATCGGAGGGTGAGAGCTAGGGCCATTCCCCCCAGAAATGTCGGGGAACTTTCAGGTGCCTTGGTGGAAGAGTGGGGTAACATCTCACAGCAAGAACTGGCAAATCTGGTGCAGTCCATGAGGAGGAGATGCACTGCAGTACTTAATGCAGCTGGTGGCCACACCAGATACTGACTGTTACTTTTGATTTTGACCCCCCCTTTGTTCAGGGACACATTATTCAATTTATGTTAGTCACATGTCTGTGGAACTTGTTCAGTTTATGTCTGTTGTTGAATCTTGTTATGTTCATACAAATATTTACACATGTTACGTTTGCTGAAATAAACGCAGTTGACAGTGAGAGGACGTTTCTTTTTTTGCTGAGTTTAGGTTGTATTTACAATGTTGTTTGTGCTCCACTGTTTGCCCTTTTCTCATGGCAACGGGCCACATATTTTTGCTGTGATTGCCTTACAGATATGGGAGTTTATCAATGTTATATTTGTTTTCAAATTATTTTTGGGTCTGTGTGATCTGTGGGAAATATGTGTCTCTAATGTGGTCATACATTTGGCAGGAGGTTAGGAAGTGCAGCTCAGTTTCCACCTCATTTTGTGGGCAGTGTGCACATAGCCTGTCTTCTCTTGAGAGCCAGGTCTGCCTACGGCGGCCTTTCTCAATAGCAAGGCTATACTCACTGAGTCTGTACACAGTCAAGGATTTTCTTAATTTGGGTTCAGTCACAATGGTCAGTTATTCTGCCACTGTGTACTCTCTGTTTAAGGCCAGATAGCATTCTAATTTGCTCCGTTTTTTGGTTTGGTTGATTCTTTCCAGTGTATCAAGTAATTATCTTTTTGCTTTCTCATAATTTGGTTGGGTCTAAATGTGTTGCTGTCCTGGGGCTCTGTGAGGGTCTGTTTGTGTCCCAGAACCAGCTGGCTCTTTCCTAGGTTAATCTCTCTGTAGGTGATGGCTTTGTGGTGGAATGTGATGGCTTCACTTCCTTTTAAGTGGTTATAGAATTTAACAGATATTTTCTGGATTTTGATAACTAGCGGGTTTAGTCCTAATTCTGCTCTGCATGCATTATTTGAGGTTTTGCATTGTACACAATGTATATTTTTGCAGAATTCTGCATGCAGAGTCTCAATTGGATGTTTGTCCCATTTTGTGAATTCTTGGTTGGTGAGCGGACCCCAGACCTCAGAACCATAAAGGGCAATGGGTTCTGTAACTGATTGATGTATTTTTAGCCAGATCCTAATTGGGATGTTGAGTTTTATGTTCCTTTTGATGGCATAGAAGGCCCTTTCTTGCCTTGTCTCTTAGATCGTTCACAGCCTTGTGGAAGTTACCTGTGGCGCTGATGTTTAGGCCGAGGTAGGTGTAATTCTTTGTGTGCTCTAGGGCAACAGTGTCTAGATGGAATTTCTATTTGTGGTCCTGGCAACTGGACCTTTTTGGTAACGCCATTATTACTGAGATGTACTGTCAGGGCCCAGGTCTGACAGATTCTGTGCAGAAGATCTAGGTGCTGCTGTAGGCCCTCCTTGGTTGGGGACAGAAGCACCAGATCATTAGCAAACAGTAGACGTTTGACTACAGATTCTAGTAGGGTGAGGCCGGGTGCTGCAGACTGTTCTAGTGCCCTCGCCAATTTATTGATAGACTGTATATGTTGAAGAGGGTGGGGCTAAAGCTGCATCCCTGTCTCACCCCATGGCCCTGAAAAAAACAGCAGGAAAGAAATGTGTGTGTTTATTTGCCAATTTGTTGTTTTTCCCCCAACCCCACTTTCCATCAATTTGTATAGCAGACCCTCATGCCAAATTGAGTCAAAAGCTTTTTTGAAATCAACAAAGCATGAGAAGACTTTGCTTTTGTTTTGTTTTGATTGTTTGTCAATAAGGGTGTGCAGGGTGAATACATGGTCTGTCGTACGGTAATTTGACATTTGCTCAGGACGTTGTTTTCACTGAGGAAATGTTGGAATCTGCTGTTGATGATATTGCAGAGGATTTTTCTGAGATTGCTGCTGAAGCATATTCCACTGTAATTATTGAGGTCAAATTTGTCTCTGCTTTTGTGGATTCGGATGATCAGACCTTGGTTCCAAATATTAGGGAA